ACTGGTAGGTCCACTAGATTGACTTTTCCAAAATGTTACAAACTTTGTGGTATGGCTTTTTGTGTGGTGGCTGGTTGGAACAGGAGCAGTCAGTAAAACGAGAAGATTGGCCTTGTATACCAAAAAAATATATATGCAGAAAATTTTCTGTCTCCTAATTTGAAGATGTCTTGAGTGTTGTTTAATTGCGTTCTTTTGGCTTAAGTATATGGCAATCATCCCTCTTGTTGAATAATGAATTTCTGAGGCATTTTAATTTTCTCATAGATTTAGATACTTTAGAATTGGAAACCCTCAGCAGAAAAAGTTGTTTGTTTTTGCAGTTAGAGTTGTTGTTGGCAGACAAAGAGAAGTGCTGTATTTGTCTCATCATTGCTAATTGATATATTACATCGCATTTATCTGTTTAGTAGTTTTTCCTTCTCAGAGAATGGAACTTACTTCTAAATTTTGATGTTTGCAGCGGCATGAAGAAAGAGTAATCATCATAAGTTCAAAAGACAGTGACAACATATTTTGTGATGCTGAGATGGCCCTTCATCATATTGTCAATTTGATCCTTAAGGTGATGGCACTTACTTTTTTTTTCAAATGATATCAAGTGTCCATTGTGAACATCTGTCTCCTGAGAAATCCATTACCTCAGATATGTCGTGAATTTCTAAAAAGTTACTGGTCGTCACCAGAGGATTTTCTTTTAATCGGTCTGAGAATCCTTTCTCTATAGTCTGTGTTTGCCTATAGCAATTCCATTCATACCTGCTGTATACAACTTAGGAGCAAAAGATAGTTGACTCTCCTTAAAAAACTAATTCCAAGAACTTTTAGATATCAATAGATGCAGGACAACTCTGCAACGTGACTTCTCAAACATGTGCAAGAAGCAGTAGAAAAGATTAGGATGCTTGAGAACACTAGATAATCTCTTTAGAAATCTGAAATACTTAATTGTTCTACTGCATTTTTTTTGGTGCCACAGACTTTTGGCATGTATATGCTTAATTTTCCCACTTCTTTTTTTGGGCCACAGATTTTGACCTCTTGTGAGCTTTGTTAGCTTCTACGTGCTTGATTATGGGAATATGTTCAATATATTCTTCAATATATTCTTATTTTTTTGGTTCTTGGTGTGGCAACTTGTTGGGTAAGAGAAGTTCATTGATGTGGTAATTTTGATTCTGCATCTGGTAGGATGATGATGTTAACGTTGAGCCACAGAAAGTAGCAGCTGGGCATGTTGCTGCTAATACAATTAGGCTCTTAATTGCTGGTACGCAAGCTGGTGGTTTGATTGGACTGAATGGTCTAAATATTGAGAAACTAAGGAACTCCTCTGGAGCTTCTATTACGGTTCTTGCTCAAAGTCAGTTACCTTTATGTGCATCTGCTCATGAGTCTGATCGAGTGGTGCAGGTAAAAACCAAGTTATTGTGTTGATTTAGTTGAAACTTGAAGTGTCATAATGTGAAATTAATCTTGCTAGAGTGCAAATGACATATTGTCTTCTTCTTCTCTTTGACATCTTTTTTTTCAGTTCAAAATGATGGTCACTAGTCAGACGAAAGTCTGTTTTTGAACATAATGAGGGAAATGTAATTTTAGTTTCTTGGTTTGTTTTGAGGAAATAGAACTAATGATTGTTTGCCCATGGTGGCTTGTGGCTTCATTTGACTGCCTATATGAGATGATGTTGAGATGTCTAATTTTACCTGATCTGCAAACCAAGGGATATTTCTGCAGAAATTGTACAAGTCAATACAAGAAGCCAGAGTTTTAGGGAAAATGATTGCGCGTCATTTGCTTGTTTTCTGTTGAATTTTGAATTTTGCTCCATTACATGTCAAATGTAGGTTTCTGGAGACATTGATACAGTCCTGAAGGCTGTTGTGGAGATTGGATGTCAACTGAGGTATATTACAGCTTTGGTTAATTCCGATCAATTTATCGTCTCACTTTCTTACTTCATACTTATATGTAAAAATTGTTCAGGGATAATCCACCTAAACAAGTAATTTCCATCAATCCATCCTATACTCCCGGCTTCAATCGCCAACCTCATCAATACGTTGATCCAGCTTCAGGTTGCCTAATCTTTTTTGTATTTATATAAAAACTGCTGCATTCTGCTGCTGTATGCAATGTTAATATTTTTCTCATAACGGCATGATCTTTAGGACAACCACTCTTGCAGCTGAATATGTAAATCTGGAGATTATGGTTCCTGAATCAATGGTTGGAGGCTTAATTGGACGGTGTGGTTCCAACATTTCAAGAATCAGGACTGAGTCAGGAGCAACTATTAAGGTATGTTGGCTCTCTCTGTCATCTCTTTTCTTGTATGCAAGAGGTCAACTTTTGATTACTGCTTGAATCTGCTGTATTTGTATCTTGAGGGCTGTCATTTATTTGCACTAGTATCTGAGTTTCATTACACCTTACAAATTAGTGATGTTCAAGCTTCCTGCACATGGATTAATTTATTTTTTCAAGTGTAGGACTCCCACCTCTGTGGATTTGGTGAATTTGAACTCTATCTCCTCTTCAGATGTGTTAATGAAATGTTATGCGTGTGATACTTGTGATAGAATAGTTGTATACTTTGGGCTTTCAGACCATGTTCAAGTGTGGATCTGAAATCTCCTTCTGCTGTACTTTTTGCTTTGGCAGGTTTATGGTGCAAAGGGTGAACAAACTCAAAGGCAAATTCATTTGGGTGGTAGTGCTCAACAGGTGAACATTGCTCGTCTGTGATATAAGTTTCTGGTTTTTACAGTACTAAGAAAAACAACATCCACCATCCATTCTATGCCCCCCTCTCCCCCCAAAAACCAAAAAACAAAAAAAAAAGCATCAATAAGGGCTATTTGTGCTTTTTTTGTGGACTGATGTATGAGAATCCATCTTGAAACCTTGTGAAGCAGTGAAATAAATTACCCATGAGAATACAGAAATTTAGTTTGTTAACCCTCTATCAAAATCTATAAGTTGTTAAGCTGTACTAATTGCTGATCCATGTAATCTGATTGAGAGTTGATACCAACTACAGGGGTAGTTCAATGATTTTTATTTTTCTCTCAAAATATTGTTGTATTTGAAATAGCGAATTTACTTGGATTGATTTAGAAGTCTCTCACTATCTAATTTCTACTCCTCACAGGTTAGCCTAGCAAAGCAGAGAATTGATGAATATGTTTATTCCCAGTTGATGCTACAATCCGGTGTACAGCCATCAATGTAATTTTTATTTTTGTTTCGTATAGTCTTCACTTTATCATTTATTTGGGGCCTTCTGGACCTGCAATTGAAATTGGAATCTCTCTTAGATGACCGTACATCTAACAAGGATGTATGTTTTGTGTTGTCTTGTGTGATGCAGACCTGCTGTGTCCAACACATTGTTCCAAGCAAATAGTTATCTCCAAGCAAATACTTTATTGCAAGGTTATGGACACAATAGTGGACTTTATATAAGCAGGTTAATGTCCTAAAACTCTATGCTAGGACTTGCATGCGCATGCTTTTTGTTCCTTTATGTGTGGTTTTTTTAAGTGTGGGCAAGTTTGTAGCTTAACAAGCATAAGCACTTGTGTTCACTTTGTATGGAACTGCAGGCAGGTACCTTGTATTGCAGTGAATATCTATGCTTGTAGACCTAACAATCTCTAATTGTCAAAATTCGTCGTGTCTTGGTGGCAACTGTTGTCACTGTAGGATCTAGGGAAGGCAGATGACTGTTGGTTCTATTGTCAATATTCAATATTACTATACACATGGGTAGAGTTTGAAAGAAAAATTTTGTTAACAATACCTTTTGGATTTATGATTTCTGTGAGGCTTATATGAGAGTTTTTCAGATATGATTTCGCCAATCTTTCCTAGCAAGCTAGTTTTCTGTACCTGTGCATGATGCTAGCTTTCGATTGCTTTGGGGCAAGCTTTTTTTGGCTTAATTATAAAAATTAAAGTCATTGCCAATTGTCTCCTAAAATTTTTTTATGCTGATTTTCAGGACAACTATGTGTAGTTTTTTTCCTGAATTAGAAAGGAACTGAGCATATCTTCTGATGATTCAATTTAGAACATTCATGAAAGCTTTCCATGTGTTGAGAAGTCAAAGCTAAATCTTCCTATCCTCAATTTCTGTTTTCATACATGAGATTCCAGATCTATATTGTCTTGAACTTACTACCTGTGCTTTTGGAAACTAGAAAATGCTCACTCACTCTATGGTTTTGCAGTAATCCTGGAACGGCTATGATGCCATCTCACGCTCCAGTATATCCATCAACCACTGCAGACCAGGCGGCTGCTTACTATGGACAGTCATTCCAGGCACCGCCAATATAAGTCCAAAGTGGCGGCGGCGTTAAGTTAGGGACGAGATAACCAGTGTACAAACTTGTGGACTATTGTAGTGTGAACTTATTCGTTATACTGTAATTTTGTAATCTTGTGGTTTGTCTCAAAAGACACGCTTATTAGTGTTTTTTTTTATCTTTTTGATTATTTTCTGCCCACCCAAAGTTGTCCTTTTCCTGTTATTGGAGATAATAAAAGTTTCAAGTGAATTTTAAAGGTGCAATTTTGTAGTGCCTTCTCATATATATGCATGTTAATTTGTCTGGTATGAGCTAAGCAGTGTTTATTTTCACCTTTGCCCTCTCTATTTGTGTTGTCCCTTCTCTATTCCTTTTGATTACTTTTGACGTGATATGGAACCCGTTGGTCGCGCAGATTCATTAGGTGACTAGGTCGGTGAAGTGGATAGAATTGATCTCTTTTTGAGGGGAAAAATGATAGGGTTTGCTATATTCATCAGGTGATATACAACCTGGTTGGCAAAAGCATTGAGATTGTACGGATTTAGTTCATATGCTTATGTGACGTTTGATTTCTGGAAATTACATTGCCTTTGATGTCAATACAGGATAACAAAGCCCAACAGTAAAACTTGTTCATTGTTTTAATAATTTTGTTTTTATAGATGCTAATACACAGCCTGAAATCCAAATATCCTGATACTGACATTTTGATCTTCAAAACAAGTAGTAGTTCATAGAGAAATTTAATTGTTACATAATATCATTCTGAATTTTGGGCTAGTCCTCATCTCCTTGACACGTTGCAGCTTGCCAAGGGAGAAAGACCTATAGCCCAGGCTAAATTTGATCTCAAGGAAGAATTTTTTTTGAAAAAAAAATTTATATAATGACTTCCATTGTACAGTCAATGATGTACCAGCAATCTACAGAATATAAAAACTATACCCTACAAATAAGCCTATACTGCAGGCCTCTGAGTTTTTAGCCCAAACAAGTTCTCAAACAATTTAGGGGCCATGGGGGGAATGTCCGCTGGTAGGGGAGCCATAAAATTGACAAGCTTTTCATGGACGTTATACCTGCACATAGATATCTGAAACTTGATCCAAAATGAAAAACAACTACAGTTGGCGCTCATCAAGGTGATACAGAATAAATAGTAAATGCTGGCAACTCAACAAGCTAACCAGCTGGGTAACTTACCGAATCTTACGACTTTTTGAGGCGCGTCGATCAACAATTTTCTTTTCTTAGCCTGTAGCCTTCTTACAGCATAAAATGCCGCCTCTGTTTCATGATAAAATACATTACCTCAGCTGGTATTTATATATTAGGTTACTAAACAAGAAGTTTCAAAAGGTAAAAGAAAAGCGTTCTCAAAACTTTTAGGGACAATTTGTCTATGCTTGGCAAACCAGTACTAGACATAGGAGTCCAACAGGCAAGTTTTGGGCTATCTCGCGAAATGTATCGATTTCTAGAGATTCACGACTTTGAATAACCAAATGTAATATTTTCTATTGGAGTAAAACATTTCCCACACAGATAACAGTAACTATCTTGGCATGCCCTTCACAAAATGCAGAACAAGGATAACAAGCGTACAAAGACAATTATTGAAAAAAAAAAATACACGATAAAAAGAATCCTTCTGTTTGCTGATATACGATATACTAGAAAGTTTACCTGATGAATTTGGGTCCACTGTCTCAAAGAACTCCTTCAACAGTTGCTGATAGAAGTCAGAGTCATCCAGCAATTCAGGGTCACCACCTGTGCTTATAACCTGATGAGAGTTAAAAGATTAGACCTAACAAAATGCAGTATCATACGTGCTTTAGATTACCCTATATAGCACTCTAGGCATCTGTGAGGGAACAGGAACATCAATTATTTCAGACTAGCAGAGTAAGGTGGAACCATGTAGAGCTCTACTCCAGCAAAAAATAAATGAGCAATTGCTGTAACATTAGCTTTTGACATCGCATATCAAGCAATACATTCTGCAACCCCATGATGCTTCCAAACATATGTTTGGGTCACATTCATTAATGTCAAGGAATAATAGTCCAAACAATTTGAGATATCACGAAGAGAAGTGATAAAAGGTTTAAACGGTTTACAAAAGCAGGTAACTTGAATTTTAAGCATGTATCCAGCAGTTTTCAACAACCTGATTCCACTGAAAAACCATTTTGTATATACAGCAGAATGAACTTATACCAACAAATTTCTTCATTATTTCGGTAAATTACACATAAATGCCATGGTTTCACCATTGTCACATGACCCCCTAACATTTCAAAATATCCATTTCACCCCATATACTTCCATGTGAAGTGAAAACTTGACGGAAAATAGCGTCTATAATGTCGTTAGTTGAAATACCAGTATTTCCCTTAAGTATTAAATCGAACAACGGTCTGACCACCTTGCACAAAACTATGGACAATATATGGATAAATGCTAAAACCATAAGGGGGTAAAGTAGACATTCATGCAAACTATAAGGGGTTAAGTGAATATTATGATTCAGTCATACATTTTTGGACTGCATTTGGTTCAATATCTGTAACCTGTGGTGCTTTCTGTCCATTTTCCACTTACATAAAACTACAAGGGTTATATGGCTATTTTGAAACCTCCCCCCCTGGGGTGGGGGATGAGGTAGCATTATGTAAAACCACGGGGTTACATGTAATTTATCTTCATTATTTTAATCAAACAAGTTGAAGCTTAATCCTAGGTTAAAATAACCACAGAAACCAAGTCAGCAGAGCCAGGTGATACCTCTGGCTGATTATGAACAGTAGAACCCAGAACCTGTAAGAGACGAGCAAAGAACTAGTTTATAATTCCAACATACTATATTGCAAAGCAGATAAAGAGCAGATTCAGAAGCTAATCATTGCAATTGGGAAACCAAATATTACATTTCCAAATTGAGCAACTGCCGATCTATCCTGTTGCATTCCCTTGATCATTTTACTTGGATCCCTCATATACAGAGCCACTTGTTCACTAATGTTCTGCAAAAATCAACATGATCACTCTAACTGGCTATGCTTTTAGCTGCATCATGGCACATTATACAAGAACTTGGACTAAACCTGGTTGAACGCGTGTAACCTCCCTTTGAAAGAGGCAGCTCCACTTGTCACCTGGGTCTTCCTCTGCCATTTATCTATCGATTTGTTCCTAAAAGAAGCCATCCTGCATTATCGAACACAAGTAAGATATCAATCGACACCAATGGGCAACTTATGAGTAAAAATGCTCAAGTCTAAAACAATAGTACAGTTATTTACACGGAGAAGAATATATGTGTGCAGAAAATACAAGCAACCATATGTACTTCATAGTTTGGAGAATGGAAATAATTGCCAATATTGCAGGACTTACATGGATCAACAAAATTACATTACATCAAATTGCAGAAAAGAAGAAGCATCTCAATCAACAGATCAATAATTCCATGCCATTTAAGTAAATTAAGTAATGTGCCAGATCCATCTTTCTCCTCAGACTTCAAAAGAAAGTAGAGTTGCATTTAATATCACCATGCGTATGCACAAAATCATGATAAATAGATCCCAATAAAAGGGGAAAATTTTTGCTACTCCCTAATAATCTACCCGGAAGTTAGCTTGTTTGAAAAAAAAAAAAAAAACTTCCAAAAGCAGCTATCAAATGATACAAGCTTCAATTTTTTGCAGTGAAATATTAGGGCCTGAATTTCTTTTGCTCGATGAAGAATATAATCTGGACTTCAAGACTCCCATGCCATTATTGTACACTTGCAGGTTATAAACATTTTTTACAGGGGTAATCTTGTAGGTCTGGTTTACCTAAAGAACACATAGATTTCTCTCTCAAAGTGAATATGCTAATGATATGTGTATGAAACCAAGCGAGGAGGCCTTCTATATTAGTTAAAGTACCTCAGCTGCATCTCAGAGATCCGCAACCATTCTTCATCACCTTCCGCATTTGAGTTTCCTGAAGCTTCTAGATAATTAGAATTCTTAGCAGAGCCGGCTGTGGAGGAGAAAATTTTAGCCATCAAATATGCATATATCAGGATCCATTCAAGAAAATAAATTAGATTAAACAAATCAATAAACAGACTCAAACCAAAGTACACGCTTAATGGGATTACTGTGTTGTGCTTATAATGGAATACAAGAACTTTTCTGAGCAAGGGGTGGAACCATGTACAATCAGAAGAAACTTCATTACCCAGATCCGAAAACTAGAACGGTAAGAGTTGCCAAAAACCATATTTTATTAACCTCGGGCAACTGGACAACATACCTAGTGGCAGGCAAAGAAAACTCACATTGTGCTTCAGAAATACAGTATTAGCATCTTACATACCAAAAGGTGCTAAAAAGTACCAGATTAAACACCAAAAGTGACTAACTTATTCCCCATTACTGACTAAGGTCCGAGATTGAACAGCCAAAGAAAAAAAAAAGGAAAACCTCCCATAGTCCCACATTGGCCTAAATCACTGGAAAATAACTTATTGTACCTTCTGCAGACTGAGCAATAGTAGGATTCTTGTCTAGCAGTACCTGTTTAAAACACATGGACTATTTGGTCAGAACAAGGAATTGATAATTTCAAAGAAATCCAGTGCTGTTGCGTCTCATTAACATTGCTATACCAAAAAGCTTTGTCAGAGTTGCTACGTTCAGAAGTGAGAAAATTTTTACCATACTGTTACCTCCTGTAACTCGAGAATAGAGTCTAATGTTTTTTGCGATGAAGTGATTAGATCCGAATATGCTTCATTAACCCCAGTTTCCAAGCTACAAAAAGAGGACTTGATTGGCTCCTACATCATAGAGGAATTCTTCATTAGTGCATGTATTTCCACACATGAAGAGATACAAGGGCGTATAATTCAAGTTAAACTAAACCTGTGGAAGCCTGTTGGAATATGAAAATGCCTTTTGCAACAAAAATCTAAATTCCAGAGTCTTGTCCCAAAGAGCCTTCACAGAAAGAAGACATGTAAATCGCAGACAATTATAATAACTTAAAAATAAACACAATCTATGAAAGCTATATGAAAGTGAGGTTACAAGAAAATGACATTCACTTAAATCAAAGGGTGAAAAGATAAGATTGCTTGATGGCTATAACATACAAGCAAAACAACTTCATACCTTCTGATTTTTCACTGCACGACCTATTAGAAGATCCTCATCCTTATGGCGCTTTAGGTTCTTTAAAACATCTCTCGTGCAATTAATAGAAAAGAACTGAATACAGTTAAAAGGTAAATAGATTAACAGGAAGCTGTAAGCAATAAAAACTTTTATTAACATCCTTTTTTTAAATTGGCTAATTTTTTCACAAGTAAAATGGCTGACTTTCTTTAAGCATGTAACAAGATTGAAAAATATTGTGTTTGGATGGGAATTATTTGCCAAAAAATTATTTTCTTGCATCGCAAACACATTTTCCAACACACCTTTAATTCTTTTTTCTGTGAGTGCTAGACAAGAAGGATTCTCAATACTTTTTTGCTGGTATCTATACAGTGCCACCTAACAAACCTTTAAATCACATGAATGTCCACCTAACATACCTTAATCACCTAATAACTTCTCCGACAACGTGGTAGTTAAACGAAAAATTGGCAAGGAGACCAACAATATATTATATGAAATTATAAAATTATACAGTACCCGTTTAGCAACAAGATGATCACAATTGGACCTAGTCAGATCCATCACCCCTGACCCTATTGAGTACCACTTTTAAAGTCATGTAACAACCAAATTATAATACGGATCGGAGATATTGCTATTATCATAAAATAGGAATGACAACGTGATGATTTTGAAACTGGTGAATTTCCTTATTTTATTGCTTACTTACAAAGTGGGCACGTGTCCCTGTTGCCATCCTATTGATGTAATTAGGGATTGCCCATTTCCTTCATATGGCTAGAGGATAAGCTTTAATTATTATAATGAGAAAAAATGTGTCACCATACGAGATGTGTAGACATGATATGCTGCAGCTTCCCGGCTGGAAGAGTATTTTAGATTAATCCAAAACATGTAGGCCATGTCCCTTGGTTTCCGAGCAATTGCCCCTAAGGAGACTTCCACCAACTCCTGGAGCAGCAGGGCTACTTCCCCCACCCCAATTTCCACTCACTTTCCAGGACCAATCAGCGAAGTCACGTGGCTTAATCCACTTCTCTAAATTCTATTCGTCCCACGTAATCACCCCATTATTTATTGTTCCCCCTACTCTCCCAGATCCAATCCCCGATCTCACACACTAGCACCAAAACACACACACACACACGCTCGCTCACACAGCAAATTAACACACCCCAACCCTTTAACCCCAAAAAAAAAAAATAATAATAATAAAAAGAAGGAAAGAGAAAAAGAAAAAGCGGCCATGGGCCAGTCGGATGGCGATGGGGAACAACAACAGCTGCAGGAGGTACAAGTAAATCATGATTTCTTCGAGCAACACGTCGTCGTAATGAGGCACGGAGACAGGTTAGACAACTTCGACTTGTTGTGGGCCAGCAAGGCCTCTCGGCCCTGGGATCCACCATTAACCCAAGATGGAAAAGACCGGGCTTTTGCTCGCGGTCGGAAGTTCAGGACCGGCCGCTCTCCCGTTAATTTCCCGATCCATCGGGTCTTCGTTTCTCCATTTCTCCGGTGTCTCCAGACCGCCACCGAAGTTGTCCACGGCCTCTGCGCCGTCAACGATGACGATCTCACCGTCACTTCCTCCAACGGCATCACCATCGACCCCTCCAAAATCAAGGTCCCTCATCACAGATACGTACTTATTGTGTACATCTTGTTTCTATAGATAGATTCTCTCGTTGAAATATTTTGGTTGCATGGTTATTTGCAATAATCTTATTAATGGGGTTGCATGGGGAAATCTCTAGAATAATTTTTTTATTACTTTTATAGATATGGGCTGTTTTCCTACGACAGAAATGATATGTTTTTTCTTTGATGAAGATTTTTTTTTTTGTGTGGTGCTGTTTTGGTTGAACCGGAGAAAATCAGGAAGCATATATGCAAAAAATCATTTTTCGTTGTGTCTCCAAAAGCAAGAAAGTCAGCCTCACCATTGTAATCCATTTGTTGGGTCATCCATTAGAAGCCAATGAGATTATGGGTAACTCTTTTGTTTTGAAGGAAAAAAAGAATTACTGAATCTTCAGAGGTTGGAGAATTAGGAATTGAATACTGAAATGACCGAGAAAGATTACAAGAACACAAATGCTAAATCATAAGTTAAGCAGTTCTTTAAGAAGGAAGTGAAAGGGTCTTTAAACAGATACCATAATACTTTAGAAGTCATTAAATGGTCAAGATACTACCAAACATGGAAAAACTCTGTGAAGCCATGCAGTTGTGTGGAGCCTTGGGCCGTTTAGCTGTGTTTGCACACTGCAAATCTGCCAGGTTACAGTCACAAGTTACTCAATTACGTTTTGGTATCCAAAGTAGGGAGAAGGCTGCTGTGAGCATGGCAAAGTAAAGTACCGTCAACCAGTCTATCAATTTCTCAACTCTTGTGTAGTATCTGGATCGTGAGAAATAAAAAGCACTTAGTTCCTGATACATATTTTTGTCCTTCTGATATTGTAGTTGAACCTGTTATTTCTCATTTTTCAGGTCGCTGTTGAGTATGGATTGTGTGAAATGTTGAATGCAACTGCAGTTAGACCTGAGAATGTTCCTAAGGACTATGACTTTGGTTTTGACATCTCTAAGTGTGAAGCTGTCTTACCAGCTGGAACTATAGATCACAGCGTGGAACCGGTTGATAAGGAGGTACTTCTTGCAAGTTTTGTATCTAGGGTTTTTCTTCATTAGGTCTTGGGTTTGTGTTGAATTCTTCTGTATTATGTTCCTTTCTGAGATACCATAGATCCCACAATGGGGAGAGTTACCAGCGGATGCTCGAATCAGATATTGTTCAGTCATAAAAGAACTTGCTGATAAATATCCCTCAGAGAACTTGTTGCTTGTGACACATGGTAAGATCATGCTTGTCTATCTATGCAGTTTCCAATTTAAGTTACATACAGCATGACATATGAGGCAGTTGATGTTCTTCATCAAATTCTAAGTGGAGCTCCTGTTTTTATTTGACCCATGTTAAACCTGTGAAATGTTGTTGAGTGCATTGTATCGTTTTGAGCTTTGTTGCAATGGTAAAAACCTTCCTGATTTAGAAATAAACTTCTGCGTGGATAGAAACCACATCCATCCATTTAGTTTTTCCATTTCTTCCTTCATCGTTTTTGGGTATTCCACATCCATTCTTTTTTTTTTGGGGGGGGGGGAGAAGAAGGTTGTGGTACTGGGGTGGTTGTGTTTGGTTTGGAGGATAGAATGAGTTTCACTATCCTAACAGTTTCCATTTGAAGGCGTAACTCACAAGAGCATTTTGCAATCACAACACTTGTGCTTGTCTACTAATGCTAATTCAATATATGAAGTTTGAACAAAATATCAACTGAGTAACATGTTAATGTCTGTTGGAGACATAAAAGTCAAAGAAGTGGATAGCTTGTATTTGTCTTATGTTTCCTTTTGGATGCGAAGACATCCTAGGCGTTTTGTAGAGCTTGCATATGTATTTAGAGAGGTGAACTGGGTGGTTTTTCTTTAATAGGTTTAACATTTTTAATGTTCATTTATTAAGTCTAAATATACAGAAATAACACAGAGTTTCATGGGATTCATTTGTTGTAGCATGTAGTAGCATTAATCACTCTGCCTTGCATGATGAGTTTGTAGGTCTTGCTGCTATGACTTCAAATTTATGCTTTCAGAAATTCATTGTTTGCCTCTGTTTCTGATGTCTAGGAGAAGGAGTTGGGTCTTCTGTTACAGCATTTGCAGAAAACACACAGGTATATGCAGCTGACTATTGCGGATATTCACACTTGAGCAGATCTGTATTTCCTGCTGAAGACGAGTCTTTTACTGCTGGACCATTTAAGGTCCATATAAAGGATGGTGAAAATGGCCTCAGTTACTGTGGATCTAGTGTCGAGCGAGATTCTACATAATTTGATCCTTCTGCTAATTCTTTTACGTATATCGTTCGAATTGCAGAGACGAAACTTGTGAGACCAATCACGTTCCAACAACTATACACATGTCGTACGTGGTCATACAATTCCAGATTCTGGACTAGTTTTTCCTGAAAGTGTTAGATATTAGTTGCAACTTGGTGTGTGTACATTTTACTTGCATCCTTAGTTGTTTTACGAACTAGCAATGAAGTTTGCAGCAAGCAATCATTTCAAGGAAGGAAATTAGAAATTACATTAGCTAGGACTTTTTGGTGTTTGGATAGTCTCTTCTATGTCTCAAAGGTCCAAATAATGCACTATAAGACAGACAACCTATTGTTGGAACAAATTCATCATCTTGGAATAAGCCAATTTGGTTCAGTCGTTTTCTGGTCAATGGAAACTTAATAAACTGAAAATACAAAGTTGCTGTTGCTGTGGTTATAAGTTCCTCACAGTTGCTGTGGTTGTAACATGCAGCACCAGCATTGCAAAATCTTTAGAAACATGATAGATTGATTCAAAATAGCAAATCAGCCTAACCTAACGGATACATTCAAAGAAATTTAATACAATGTTCGACTAGTTATATTGTCAAACGCTTACACAATAATGAATACAGACTGACTAAACATTACTGCCTTAAGACTTGAAATGAAAAGAAGCTAGGCCGCCCGAGATCATATGCCACCACTCCAAAATGCTGCCATCACCAGTCTAATGGGCTAGGAAGGGGTTCAATATGATCAAATATATCTATGGGGAAGTCATCCACGAAGCTATCTGGAGTCACAGGGTTGCCAATTTCACACTTTGCAGCAATTTGAGTGCTTCTTCTCTCTGATTCGAAACACGTCGGCATGATGGGGAGTTGCACATTGCCTAATTCAGAAGAAATGCTACTTCCAAAAGCCTCCAAATAGTTAGGATCCCCAAGTCTCGTGACAACTTCGTTGTTTTCCAGTGAAAGTGCGAACTCCGATTGGAAGTTAGGAATCTGAGGAAAAGGAAGCTGTGATAGTGTCTCAATGCATGGCTTCTTCTCAATCAAATCAAACTCGGGTGGAAGGAAACTCTGCTCATAATTGAGTGTGTTGGGATGCATTAGCTCTGGTAATGGCACCATTTCCATTTCCACTGTCAGAGATTTTACGGTATATAATGATAAGCAAGACTGGGATTTAGGCAGCGAGTCTTCCTCACTTGAAGAACTGAACTTGGATGCCTAAAATTTTGTAAAGACAAACCCGAAAACATTAAGAACATCTGAAATGTATAAAGGAGAAATCACAGCTGAAAAATCAGGGAATCATCTGCTACAACCAAATCCAGTCTTCCAGCGGAGGTGGACAAGAGAAAAGAAAAACAACAAGGAGGAGATTACTGCTTGACATTTCATTTTTGCTCCTATCCCATCAGATGCAAGACTTGTATGAGTAAACTCTGAGCCCTAATCGGGTACCACTGAAGAGTCATCTCATTCAGGTAATAATATACAGAGGTTTCTTTATCTAGATCTTTTGGACTCAAGACTTGATTTGGACAAGTAATTGTTATGCTAAAAGCAATTGATGATTGCAAATCTGCTACTAATTGCACATGCATTTTAAAATGTGTCAGATGACATGAACCAATTTCTACTTACCTCAAAAGGAGGAACATCATGAATAGCAGGGACGTGCTTGTTTCTTTGTGACCTATTTGATGATGATGATGATGATGATGCAGGGGTTTGCAAGATCCTCGCCAACCTCTTCTGCCTGCTACTCCAAAAGTTCTTGACATCATTGTCTGTTCTCCCAGGCAAATACGTTGCAATTTTTGCCCACTTATTCCCAAATTGTGCTTGAAGATCTATTACAATCCTCTCCTCCTCTGCAGAGAACTTTACCCCGCTGTTGAACCAAAAACAGGGAACAACCTTTACATACATTATCATCATCAACTGCTTCTACATGCATAAAAACACTTCCTTTCACACAAAAAGTAAGTATC